TTGTAAATTAAGTAGCTGCATTTATAGATTTTCTAGTACTTTATTTCATATTCGTTTTTAGTTAATGTAAACTCAAATTTTAAATAATTAAAATATTGGCAGCACCGTATTTGCAACTAATACGTAACTGAAATATATCCTCGGACCGCATAAAATTGCTTCGAGGACCGCCAAAATTCGAAACCACTATTTTAGAGTGAAAAATGGTCTCATTGTTGTTGCTATACTAGTGGCTCCATCTATTGATGTAAACTGACAACATTAATAGACTTAAGGAGCCGCTTCAGAGCAAATATTCTAATATGAATCGTAAAAACTCTCTTTACTGCAAGCATTTCTATTATAGCATCATAAAACATCATTATTTACAACACATAAAAAACATAAACTTCTAAGGCATAGCGTAATAACGTAAATAAAATTTCCAATATCAAGAAACTATGTTTTAACGTTCAGACTACGTAATCAGGAAAATGTTCCATATTAACCATGAAGCGGCTGCATAGATCGCTGGTATAAATTATAATAAAAATTCAAATTTAATATTAATGGAAATCAGAATCGATTCGGAAGCTCAAAAATATCAAATTTTTTTTTCGGGGGAGGGACGGGGGGTTACTCCTAATACGAATATATTTCAAGTGTGGGAATTTCACTTTGTCATTTACTTCACTTCATTTTAACATTATATATTTATCTTTGTTTACTATTTAATTTATTTTATATTATTATAATTATGTATTTATTCCTGATATATTTTCATATAAAGATCATTAATAGCCACCTAATTTACTGGAATATATTTATTTCTTTATTATTTTGTAGAACTCTTTAGTCTGAGTAAACTGACACTGGAAATGAAAAAAATAACTTGAATAAAACAGGAGATATAGGCTGTAACCCATACGGCACTCTTAGTTGCTGTGACGTTACAGTGACTCCCCAATATTACATTTTCGTCACATTACATTTGTAACCACGGCATTTTATTATTTGTTAATAAAATAATAAAATCCATACTAAGATAGTATGTATTAATGCCTTTTTGTCACTTTTACAGTTTAAAAATATTTCTAATTTTAATAAAGAAAATCAAATGAATACTTTAATGAAAGCCCATCTGTCCAGTATCTAAACCTTGCCATCAGACTTTAATACTTAAAATAAATTTCATAATTGGTCTCTTATATATTTTTATTACCTTTCAAATCCTCATTTTCCACATTACTAGCCAGTGCCAGACTCGATCAAAAACGGTACGGCTCTGTGTTGCACAGATTCATCTAGAGAAATTTTTAAAAAAATTTAAATACCTGTTATTTTTAAACTTTATTGTAAAGTAAAATATTTTCATATCATTTAATCAAGGCAAAAAAGTGAAATCATATAAAAAAAAACTAAATTAACTTCGGATACCAAAGAAATAATAAATAATCCAGGTAACTTGAACTTTGGATATCTTATTTCGGGTAACCAGAATTCCTCTCTGTTTTCATACTTATGTTAAACGAGGAGAATAGCATGAATGTGTGTATCTTATGTTACTTCATCTTTACCTCAAAGCATATTTTCTGAATCCTCACCTTTCCTCTATAAATTCATATTGAAATAATTCCAATTTCCCAAGTTAAAAAATGGTTCTGATTTCATTCTAAATTTGCCACAATTTATGGATAGCAAAAAATCTTCCTTGATTTTCTCGTGCTGCTATAAAGTTCATGTATGTATATGATATTTTTTGATGTTATCTTTTCGTGCTGAATAATAATTTTTAAATTTCGTTTGAATAATTTTATATTAATTATTACTATCATTCACTTCAGTATACAATAAATGTTCACTCCCATTCTATCTTAATCTAGCTTTCCTTTTTCACATAAAGGTCATCTAGATCCTACAAAACGAACCTGGCGAATTTTCTCACAGGCGTGAATGAACCTGCAATGGCAGGCGGGGAGTAATACCAGCACAGAAGAAGGGTGAAAAATAACAATTTATTATTTCGAACTATGAACAGAAAGACACGTATTCCGTGCTTTATAATAACACCGACAACTTGTGGTGGAACTTAAACGTTATTACATAAATCAATTCAAATCTGAATAGAATAGTACTGGATTAGCACGTTTATTTACGGCTAACACGCTATTCACACACCTACGTTCGCGCATGCGCACAAGCAGCCCAGGTACAAGGCATGCGGTAGTGAGAGCGAAGGTTGTTAACCCTAACTCAGCAATGGAAAGGGTTGTTAATAGTTCAACAGCAAAAGAATAATTTTCAAGTAATAATTATCAGTTACAAAGACGAAGTCAATCTATATACATGATAGTGTTCAGGAAATGGTTAGATAAAATAGGGATTTAATGATGGTTCTAATTGCAAGCGAGGACGAGTAATTAGTTAAAAAATCTTTAGTGTATTGACAAAAAGGCTACAGAAATTACTTAAATTCTTTTATTTAACAGAGGAATTTTTATGTAAACTTAGACCCTAGTCTTATAGCATTGGACTGTCAGAATTTATTATTCAATAAGAAAACTTAGTGAAATTTATAATATTCTTATATATTCATCACTTTTTCAGTATCCACTCATGTTTATAGGTTAAAATGCCATATTCAATATCAAAGTTATTTATGAAATAAAAACCTTATAAAATCTGATAAATCATTTGTGTGTGCAAATTTTTAAATCTAAATCTCTTACATTAAATTATTTCTGTCTTTTAAATTACATCCAATCATTTATTTCAATTTAATTGATTAATGTGTTTGCACTAATATTTCAAAGTTCTTTGAAGCACTTTTTGTGTCCTGAAAATACCAAGTATTTCCATAAAAAAATAAGCAGGCATACAGAATAATTCATTTAATAGTTCATATAATAGCTTTTAACTTATTTCATATCTAAATTTTCTATACAGAAATCCGCTGTCTAACTTTTAGTATCTTTTATCGGACGAAATTTTTCAAAGAGGAATGAATAAAAGGTTTGATTGAGTAAAACACATCTTTAAAGCTAAATGTATTCTAAGAAGTACAAAAAATGTCAACACGATTTTGCCCCCCTTCAAATCAATCATTTAAACTATTCAAACCGTTCAGGAAAAGGATTAACATTGCGAACATAAAAATCTGCCCTTTTTTATATATATTTTAATAAAAGGAAATGTGTTCCTTCTTTTTATAAGAAAAGGAACCCATTTTTCTTTCTAAACTTTTGAAAGTCGCCAACGCTTACAAAATGGTAATCTACGCCAAGGTGGAAACCCGCCTTTGACAACCCAATGCGCATGCGTGGTTAATGTTGGTGTGAATAGCTTAAGCGGCTAATCGCACCGGTGGTGCGAATGGCATCGGCCCGAAGATTATTTGCTAAACTTTTTTACTTTTTATAAACATTTAAAGCTACTTGCTTAATAGAACAAATTTTAAATTACTTGCATAATAGGAATAATGCAAAACACATAATTGTAAACTCTTAGTAAATACAAAATTGTAAGCTTCTTGTTAAATACAAAATTGTAAGTTTTTTGCTAAATTAAACAAATCTTGTTCTCTTCCCGAGGACAAGTCTTCGGGAAGAGTCCGTCTTAACGTAAAAACTATTTTCCCGTCTTTACGTAAAAACTATTTTGAAAAATCACGTCTAATGAATTCACTTGAATAAAGAAGAAAATAACGTATAACAGTTTCCGGAGAAAACTGTGCGGCTTAGTTAAATTTGCTACTCAAGGATTTACCGTTATGAACATTCTTTGACCTGATCTGATTAAAAAAATAAATAAAATAAAATCATAAAGGTTTCAGATCTTAGCGGTCGCCCAAAAAGGTATTTTAGGCTCTCGCTGAGCTCGCAGTCTACTGTTAATCTCACTCCTACTAAACCACTTCTTTTCCGCTTTTTAATTTATTAAGCATCATTTCCTTTGCACTTACGCCATATACAATTCAACAACAAACATACAAAAATTTTTAAAACAACACAGCAGTATGCGTTTGGAATTCCCGATGTAGCATTAAGTGTTGACATACACTTTTCTGTTTTTTTTTTTTTTTTTTTTCCCCCGACTCTTTTCTCAGTTGATAATATCAATGTTCAGTTTTCTTACTAAGATGGCTTTTCAAAACTTGTTTCATCTTTTGATTATTAGCGTTTTGTGTGTTTATTTCATTTATTAAATATGACGTTCTTTAACGCTTATGGTACAAAAAATTCCATTCAACAGTAAAATCACAAAATAGTTAAAAACAGCATATCTATAGAATTTCCGATAGATAGTATCGTATGCTGGACATAAAAATGTTTTATTCCGCACAATGTTGTCAATGCCCGCTTTCAAATCGTTGAGTTTGCCAATAAAAAATTCGTTTTTATAAAATATGAAATAGATAACAAAACAAATTTCAGGGTTCTAGGTGCCGATCTTTGGGAGGAGGGCTAATTTATTCAAAATTTGGTGACCTATGTAGTGCTGTTTTTTTCACAATATACATACATTCATGGCAGATTCTTCATTATTCAACTGCTTTAAATGTAATACAGGACGATAATATTTGGTGGCAACAATTTGAAAAGTAATATAACGTATTTAAGTGTTTTGACGTAAAATGCTGTTACGAGAATAATATCCCATTCGGAACTAAGGTTCCTTTTGGGCTAGAAAAGTATTGCCTTGGACATTGTCCATCCTGGTGACTGCACCTTTCCAGGCCGGATAAAGTGAGAAAATTAAATTCACTCACTATTTTATGGAATATCTTTTTTTTTTTTTTTTTTTTTAATGTTAAAATTTTTCTTTTAATGCTTTCTTGTTCATGCACAATTATTTGTATTTTTTATTTAAAAAAATGAAGCATTCATTAGCATTTTGTTTTTATAAGAAGGAATGCGAATCCTTTGTCAAAATTTTGATACCTCGCACTCGCTATTTCCAAGCAGTCTCTATTAGTTAACTTTCTGTCAGCTTTGACGCAACTCATCTTTATATTGAGCGTAAGTTTGTTTGTTTGCGACATTGAATAGGTAATGTTGCATTTATCTTTTAACTCCCTGAATGATAGTTATGGTTTTGTCCAGTAATTTATTGACAAAGATTGTTCTGTATTTTGTTGGTATGATTTCGCTTCTAATTATTGTGTTGCGTCAAACTTTATTACAATTTTTTTTTTTAAATACCACATCCCGATTTTGGAGAAAGTGCGGAATCCCCCACTGCTTGGCGCGTTTTTAAGAATTGCACATACTTAACCCCAGTTCTTCTTACTCTTATAAAAAGCGCCAAACAAAATAAGTGGGCGATTCTGGGTAAAATCCTAGTATACGGTGTAGACTTGGCGCGATTTTGAAAATTATCGCCAACACCAAAAATGATCCAAAGAACGTCTATGTATATAGACTATACGCTATATACTATGTGTGTATATACATAACTATGTATATACATAGTATATACATAGTATATACTATGTATAACTATATATATTCTTTGAATGACCCGTTTACTACTTATCGTATATGTCCCGTTTTTACTGCTCATCATAAAGTCGCCAAATCCCGTGTGCACCGGATACTAGGATTAAACCCGATTCTGCACTTTACCCCCAATTTTATCAATAAATAAATGGTGAAAGTGCAGAATCGCCCACTGCTTGGCGCGTTGGTGAAAGTATAGGTTAGGGTACCCCTTAGTGAAAATTGGCGATTTTTAGCGGTACATGGATACAGATTTTGTGCAATTTTTTTACTTGCGAAGCGACGATTTTTGTGGCAAAAATCGCTGCTACACAAAGCCAAAATAACGAGACAAACAATTGCACAAACTCGGTATCCATGTACACATCGAGTTATTTTCGCTTAAAAAAAAAAGGGTTTTCGTCCACAGAGAACCCGTTGGCGCTTCGGGAAAGAACCCCCATGGTAAAATCCTAGTATACGGTGCAGCCTTGGCGAGATTTTGAAAATTATCGTCAACACCAAAAATGATCCAATGAACGTCGCGATTTTGAAAATTATCGCACACACCAAAAATGATCCAAAGAATGTCTATATACTATGTGTGTATATACATAATATATACTATATATAACTATATATATTCTTTGAATGACCCGTTTACTACTCATCGTACATGTCCCGTTTTTACTGCTCATCATAAAGTAGCCAAATCCCGTGTGCACGGGTACTAGGATTAAACCGAACCCGTTGGCGCCATGGGATTTTTACTTGCTCGCCGTTCATCGACGATGAGCCTAGCCGTAAATGTGATTTTTAGTGCATGTAAATTCAAATTAGCAGACAAAACAATATATTAAGCTATAACGTTGCGCGCCTCTAACTAGCACGCAACCAATAGGTGACTGTGAAAGCTTGTATAAACCACAGAGTCTTATAAAGTGTTTAAGTCCCTTTTTATTCAACGTACTAATTTACAATTGCGTTCTCTTGACGCTTACAAACGGTGCCAACTCGGCAGTCAAAATAAAAATAAAAACCTGAAAAGAAATTAAAGACAATATTCTAACTACGAGGCTCTCTCAAATAACTAACTCACCGCGTTTTACAATACGGCTGCTAATTCAGCAGACTTGAAGCTCACTGGAACAATTGCAACTACTTCCCGCCAAGCACATAAGGCCGCAAACGCGGGGTTTTTCAAATCTCTATAACTACCTCCGCGCTCGCTAAGTAAGAATAACTCTCTCTCACCGAACTTGTTTCCTTCTATTTAAATTCATACTACTTCCGCTGATAATTTGAATGCTTGCGCGTTCTACTCAAATTTACATATTCTGGCATTGGCAGTTCCAGGGGAAAGTAAGGATTGACAGGAAAGATAGTTTAAACTTAAAATAAATGTTAGTTAAAATAAATATAAACCCTACAAAGCATATGGTAGTAAAAATTCACAGATAAGAAGCATGTAGATGTAAAACTAACCAGTTAAACGTTATATGCGAAAATAAATTTGTATTAAATTCAAGTTAGCACAGAAAAGAATATATTAAGCATAAAACAATATATAAAGATTTATAACGGAAATAAAAATTCGGCTAATCTTTGGAATATGGTAACAGGTAGTTTGGCGACATTTTGGTAAGGTGATAAAGATTACTAGCTAGGACTTTAGCAGTGTACATGGATAAAGTCAAGAGTGTGCGCAATGCCATTTTTGTGCAATTCTGGGGATTTTTTTAAGTGAAAATAGGACGACGTGCACATGGATACAGTGTATGTGCAATTCTTAAAAAACGCGGCAAGCAGTGGGCGATTCTGCACTTTCTCCCAATTTCGCACCTAATCTTCGTCATGATTAAGCACTTTTGTTCCATAAAAGTTCTAGCATAAGCGTAATTCGGCTAGCAGACTGTTGGAAAAAAATGTTGAGAAAAAAAAAAAAAAAAAAAAAAAAAAAAAAGCGAAATGTGCCTTTACTTCATAAATACAAAATGGCGTCCAAAAAAAAAAAAAAAAAAAACTAGCAGGTTGCTGTAGCAGGGTTGGTCGCCAAATTACCATAATCCGAATATTAAGCCAAAATAATTCGCACATTTATTACAGTAGAAAAAATATTGCCGTGGGTTAATGATTACATTTCCTAGCAGTTGAATATGTGGCAGCAATTTTGTCTACAATGTCAATTGCTCCTTTAGATAAATTGCAGAAAGTTATTTCAGGTTTTTTTCGATTCTCCTATCGAAGAGTCTATTACATCATCATTATGCATAGTTAATATATTTGAAGTAGTATATTCGAATTAGAAGAACATTCTTATATTTATGTATACAGTCAAAAGTCGTTAATTCGGAATGATCTATAATACGGACCTCAAAACTAAAAACTTTCTGCGCATGCGCCACGTTGACACATGCGCACAGGCGTTTACACGTGCGCGTAAGACCTTTTACGACTGCGCATATGAGTGTGCGCAAGTGCAGAATACGTTTTCGCGTGCGCGTTTTATGTATAATGGACGTATAAGCTAAATAATTATCTATTTCAGTTAATGTTGATGATTGCGTTGTTCCTTAATTTTCAAATTGGATCCAGCTTATTATTTTTTGCAGACTGTAAGAGCAATTTTATAAAAGTAAGCTTAAACTTTCGATTATATCAAATAGAATTTCCGATATATATTTGTTAATATGTAAAGGATCTAAAGCGAAAGTATGTTTTGAAATCCGAAATCTGTTTATCAATTTCACACTGCTCGGCGGGGGGAACGCCGCGGCGGGCGCGTAATGAATTGGAAGTTGATCTGTCAGCACTATCCTTATCTTCAGAGCAGATGTTTTTATTTTATTTGGCTTATAATTCCTTATCAAATGTAGTATTTCATCTCGATGTGCTCCGTCTTTGATATGATTTAAAACAAGTTCCTCGTCATTATAATTCGCTTCCGATAGCGAAGAAAGTGACAGAGGTTATTGAAAACGAAAAAATTTCGATTGACAAATTAGTCAGTATTCTCGACACAGCAATTATAGGACTTGAACAGCGGAACTTTGTAACTGAACAAGAAATTATATCTGTTTAATAGAATTAAAGAGAAAGTATTATCACATGAAACGAAGAAAAACTTAAACAACCATTGAAAGATATGTTTAATACAGTAAACAAATAAATATTAAGCTTTTTCTTTTTGCAAATTTTGATACCCTTTAGATCATAATTGTTCTTTATTTCATAAATTACGGTTTCATATTTTTAATTTTAGAATTTCTGCATGCCATCTTACGAGATTTAAACTGATGATCTATAATCCGGAATCGCCGAAGTCCCGACGAGTCCGGATTAACGACTTTTGACTGTATAAGACAATTATTGCGTCTTTTTGGAAACCAAACATGGAGGAGTAAATCTTGCTCTTCTTTGAATTAAAAATTATAGGAGGAATATCTATTTTATTTTTTCTTATGGTTCCAATGACAGTTATTCATCCGAAGATACATTATACAATAAATTTCTCAAATGTCTCATTTCTTCATCACAACTGCGATAACGCACCATATCGGAAGAACAATTTTAAAGCTTATTCACATACTCAGAACTATAACACAAATACTCGCACAGGCTATAATATGCCCGTCGAGGGGATATTCGAAGAACTATTTTCAGAATTTGGCCCCCAGGGTTTCCTCTCCTTCAAGGTTATGACAGGCTAATCTTTAGAATATGGTAACAGGTAGTTTGGCAACATTTTGGTAAGGCGATAAAAGTTACTAGCTAGGACTTTAGTAATGTACATGGATAAAGTCAAGAATGTGTGCAATGCCATTTTTGTGCAATTCTGGGAATTTTTTTAAGTGAAAATAAGTCGACGTGTACATGGATGATACCGTGTATGTGCAAGTCTTAAAAACGCGGCAAGCAGTTTCTCCCAATTTCGCACCTAATCTTCGTCATGATTAAGCATTTTTGTTTCATAAAAGTTCTAGTATAAGCGTAATTCAGCTAGCAGATTGTTGGAAAAAATGTTGAGTAAAAAAAAAAATGCCTTTACTTTGTGAAAACAAAATGGCGTCCAAAACAAAACTTACAGGTTGCTGTAGCAAGGTTGGTTGCCAAATTTTCGCCAAAAAATCGCCAAGTTACCATAATCCAAAGATTAACCAAAAATTCATTTAAAAAATATAAATTAGTATTAATTTACTGAAATTAACCGGTTAAGCGTGATATATGATAAATTTTGTCTGAAATTCCAGTTAACACAGAAAACAATATATTCCTTACACCAGCAGTGGTTTGCCAATTTTGATGACCATGGTGATGCATCGAACTATTCTGTCATCTTAGATAATCAATAATATTTTTTATTTCAATTTAATCATCTATTTATGTCACACCTGCCATCCTCTGAAAGGTTATTGTTAGAAAAGCATTAACAATATATTATCTTGTTAAAATTTTACGTCAAAAAATTGATTTATTCTCATAATTTTAGATGACAATAACCAATAATAAAAATAAAAGCATTTCTAAATTATTTAAAATACACATTTTTGCGGCCTACGAAAACAAATTTG